TCAGATAACTCCAAATGGTGGAATATGGCATAAAATAACTGGCTTATATTCTTCAAAAATGTTAATGTCATACAAAATAAAAGATAACTACGGACCTGCTCCAAATTAAAGAGACATGAGAACTAAATACAATATGTGATCCCACATTCAAACCTCTACTATAGTAGAAGGAAAAAAATCTAATAAGAACTTACTTGAGACAACTAATGACACAGGAATAGAGATGTAGATTAAAGTAGTGTATCAATGTTAAATTTCCTGAATTTGATAACGTAAGCATGATTACATATGAGAATATCCTTGTTTCTGGAAAACAGAAACTGCAGCAGAAAGGGTCAAAGGCCATCATATATACAACTGTTACTCTCCCAAACAGTTCATGAAAAATTGTGTGTGTGTGTGTGTGTGTGTGTGTGTGTGTGTGTGTGTGTGTGTCTGTATGGGAAGGTGAAGGAATGAGGGAGAGAATGACACAAATGTGGAAAAATATAAAAAAACTGACAAATCTAGGTAAGAATATGTAGGAGTTCATTATGCAATTCTTACATCTTTTCTAAGTATGAATTTCAAAAATGAATTAAGTTCATGTGTTGTAGTCCTAAGCTCCAGTACCTCAGAATGTGACCTTATTTGGAGAGTGTCTTTGCAGAGGTCATCAAATTAAAATGATGTCACTAGAGTGGGCCCTACTCCAATGTGACTGGTATCCCTATAAAAAGAGGAAATTTGACACAGACATGTCCAAAGGAGACAGGGAGAAAACAGCCATCTACAACCCCAGGAATGCTTGAGGCTACAAGAAGTTAAGGAAAGAGGTCTGGAACAAAGCCTTCCCCAGTGCCTTCAGAGAAAGCATGGCCCAGGCAACAACGTGATTTTGGATGTGAGCCTCCAGAACCAGGAGAAAATAATTTTCTGCTATTCTAAGCAGAAACAAACAAACAAACAAACAAAAAAAGAATTAGAACAGCAATAAAACCACCATTAGAATATTATGCTAAAATAAAATACTTTTCACAGATTTCTGAGATGTTTTCACCAAATGAAGATGTTTAAAAAAACACAAATACTTGTATTCACTGTGTTTACCAAAGATTGAAGATATCATCAAACACCAACACTGTACTCTAAAACTGTGATATAAAAAAATTAACCAAACTCAATGCACTATCCCTAGAATATGTGCTTTTAATATAAACTAAATCCCAAATTGACAATATATTAAAACTGATTTAGCAAAGTTATCATTAAAGATCACATTATATATATTTTAAATCCCCCATTAGGATCAATAGACAAAGTGTTAAAACTAAAAAAAAAAAAAAAAAGTTAAAGGTTGAATGGTTTAAGTATACAACAATTAATTAGCTGTTTGTATATTAATAGAACAGTTTACAAAATATAATGGAAAAATAATCTCACAATGGCACTTAAAAATATACTTCAAAACTTTACTGAAAGTCAAAAAAAAAGATTAATAAAAGAAGGTATGCCATTTTATGTTAGAAAACTATACACCGTAAAAATGTCAGTTCTCTCCAAATCAAGGTATGCCATTTTATGAGTTAGAAAACTATACACTGTAAAAATGTCAGTTTTCTCCAAATCAATCAATAAATGTTACCAGGCTTTTGAAAGGAATCAGAAAAAAGGACTCTGAAGACATGTGGAAAAATAACCTTTGGAATACCCCACACTTTTGGAAAAAAAGGATTTACCTCACCAAGTATTAAAAAATAGTGAAAGCTACATCAATATAAACAGTGTGATTCTACTATCAAGAGACAGATTATACGGAGACCAAGAGTAGATCCAGAAATAACAGAATATAATAAAAGTGGCATCTCAAATCAGTAAAACATGTTGAGAGAACTTGCTAACCATTTGGGAAAAAACTTAAGTTGGATCCTTACCTTATGTAACAAAATTAATTCCAGATAAATAAAAGGTTAAAATGTAAAATAATATTGCAATGCAGAAGGAATTTCTAAGTTTGACATCAAAACTAGAAACCATAAAGGAAAGGCTGATGTAAATTGTTATTGGAGATAACACTGAATACAATTTTTTCTGTTTTATGTAGCAATCTTAATAAGCCTACATTATTACAATCCTGGTGTGCTTTTAGAGTTGTGGCTAGGGCAGTAAGATCACAGTATTATATTCTACCCATTTGACTTCACTTTAAAGAGAACAATTTTCCACTCTGATTTGACAACTGGCTTTTCCTGTAATGGTTAGGAGGTTATTGAATAATAAAAAGTACTTACCTCCTTTTTTCACATTTCTGTGATTGCTATCTTTAGTTGGAATGAAAAATTATCTAATTCCTATAAGCTGGTACTGAGTTATTAAAATAGAGATCAATTTTTTAAAATTAATATCCTAGGTAAACAAATAATACCTACCTACAAAAATTGTTTTTCTCCCTGAATCTAGTACCCCTGGATCTGAGTGCTACTTGCACCCTGACTGGTTAAATCACCTATGTTATAAGCAAATGTTTGCTCTGCAGAAAGAAAACAAGCGCTACTTATTTAAATGGGATATCTCTTGTCAAATCCCTAGGTTCTTCTCCCTGTCCTTCACACCACAGTCATTCAAGTGTTTGTATCTGCAGTAGTATTCCTAGTATGTCAAGAAGTATTCCTAATGTCGTTCAGACTTTTTAACATCATTATTTTTACTTTCCAAATCCTCTTTTGTCCTTTCATAAATTAGCCCCAAAGGTAGCATTATAAGATATAAAACCTGTTATAATAATGAATTTACACAGGGCTTAAGGGCTTAAACCAGCAAGAGTCCACCCTCAGCGCCAATTTAGCACGTTCCTCAGCCACCACTTGGGACTTAGGTCAAAAGCTGTGGAAGGCAGTAGAGTCCTATCACAGCAGGTAGGACTTCCATTCAGAGGAGTACTGAGACGTTGAAGATGAGGGCAGAAAACCCCGCAGCACAAACTCCATCAAGGACACCGACAAGAATGGGTTTTCAGACATGAATGGTGGTGGGCAGTTAGAACAGTGATTGGAGTGAGTTAAGGGAAAGCGAGGGAGAGGAGATACTGCAAGTAGACAGCTAACTCTTTGAAGCAGGCGGCTACGCAGTGAGAGTGAAAGATGACTTTGTTACCTAAGTCTCTACTTCAGATTGTTCGCTGATGGGGAATAAACCAATGAGGAGGCAAGGACTAAAGAACAGAGAGGAGAAACAGTGAAAATTCTCCTAGATACCACAAACAAATAGAGCTAATGTGGCGATATTTATCTCTGTGCTTATATCGACCTCAACAAAAAGAATTTGGCATTTTTGAACAAGCTGCCCTATAAATTTCCTTGTCATACTGGGGAGGTGGGGCGAGGGCGAGGAAAAGCTTAGGCAGGCTCCATGCCCAGCGCAGAGCCTGATGCAGGGCTCAATCAGAATCAAGAGTCAGATGCTTAACCAACTAAGCCACCCAGATGCCCCTCTTGGTCGTATTTTTAATTCTTAAGCAACAATATATTCATACAGACTCATTTATGAATTACTGGTGTTCAAAACATTAATTTCTTTGTTCTCTACACACTCTTAAGTAACTTCAACATATGTAAGGGATTTTACGTCCAGGAAATTTCTCTTCGTATATATGCATGACTTTTTTCTCACAGCAGCATCACTAACTTTATTTAATTCTCATTTTTTATTTATTTTTTTTTAAGATTTTATTCATTTATTTGACAAGAGAGAGACACAGCGTGAGAGAGGGAACACAAGCAGGGGGAGTGGGAGAGGGAGAAGCAGGCCTCCCGCTGAGCCGGGAGCCTGATGCAGGACTCGATCCCAGGACCCTGGGATCATGACCTGAACCGAAGGCAGATGCTTAACCAACTGAACCACCCAGGTGCCCCCCTCATTCTCATTTTTAAAAAATTCCTGCTGATGTTCGAGCTCGTTTGTAGTAAAGTTTTTCATTACACATCTTTTTCACATACTGTGTTAATCATAGTTCTTACTATAAATTAAGTCCTAAACCGTGGTCTTTTGATAGACACATGTAAAAATGTTCTTTATTTTCACAAAGAATTATACATTTTTTCCTAAAACACAAGCGGCTCTATCTTAGGTTTCTCCCTTTTGACAGAGATATCAGCAGTCAGTTTAGTACTGGGGAGACATCAGGGAATGCCAGAGATCAGAGTACCCTCTACTTAGCTCGCCCGACTGCTGTTAACTGGGGAACAAAAGACCTGTGCCACCTATCATCCAGTTTTTCAAGATGAGAAAAAATCTGGATTTTCTTTTTGTATAATCTCCCAATTTTTAATTGTTTGCAACTAATTAGAAAAATACAGTATAAACCAAAAATAAAATGCCTGCAGGCCAAATCGAGCTGACATGCCATTGGTTTACAACCTCTAGGTTAAGGGATCATAATGGGTCTGCTTACTTTTTTTTTCACTTTTTTCTTGATTTTAGGTCATTCTTCCTTCCAAGAAGGGATATCACAAGTCTGTCCTTTTTTTCTTAAGATTTTATTTATTTATTATTTATTTATTTGAGAGAGAGTGTGAGAGAGAGCACAAGTGGGGGCGGGGTGAAGGGCAGAGGGAGAGGGAGAAGCAGGCTCCCCGCTGAGCAGGGAGCCCGACGTGGGGCTCCATCCCAGAACCCTGGGATCATGACTTGAGCCGAAGGCAGACATTTAACCGACTGAACCACCCAAGTGCCCCCACTAGTCTTTCTTTAAAATACTCATTCAGAGATTCAAAGTGAGGTTAAATGACCTACCACCATCACCAAGTGCCATTAAACATTTCTCTTTTTTAAAGTAATATACCATATTTGCATTTTGATACTAGTTTGGGGTTGGAATGAAATTCACCTTTAAATTTACACTTGTTCTTGAGACGTTTTCATCTACAAAAGTACGACAATTAGCATTTATAGAGCACCTACAGTGGGCCAGGCACATTACTAAGCATTTTCACACTTTGGTATTTCATTAAAGCCAAAATTACCTTGTAAAGTAGATTTTATTATCTCATTTTACAGACGATTTGCAATAGTTCACGAAGTGCCCAGTTTTTGTTTCTCTGCCCTCAGAATCCAGACGAAATGGTTGGTTAGGCTTGCTTTTTTGACAGGTATCATCAATCAAGAATTACAACCACCTTAAATAAATCACAATAACAAAAATGCAAAGTGAAAGTATTGAAGGATGATATCCTTTGAAAAAACAGCTAAACCTTCATTTCAACTCCCTAAATTCCTTAGGTCCACTGATCTTCCAGTCACTGAAAGAATCATAGTTATTTTCAAGACAAGTAAAATTGAAGTCAGCTCTTCTTTTGGTTCATGTTTCTTTTCTAGGGCCTCTAAAAACACTGACCATTTTACAAAAAAACGAATCTTTTCATTAATTAAAGAGGAGCACAAAAAGAGCACAGGCCGCTGTCACCAAGAAATTACTGAGCATGTGTGCTGGGCAAGGCCGAGTGCAAGGCCCTGTAACACAGAACTAAGTACGGTTCCCTACTCCCTTGGAGCTCACAGTTTCTAGAAAGGGAAACAGATCTTAAAGAAATGTCCATACAAGTAACAATTTAATTACAGTCATGGTAAGTGCCACCAAGGAAACTTAAAATGGGGTGCTATGATAGCTTTCATAAAGTTGGGCAAGTCTAAGTAATCATTGGGCAGAATCTCAATATAATCAGGGAAGTAAAAAGACAAACTGCTCCTTCCTGTGAAGTGGCTCCTTTAAAAAACATACAGTCTGAAGGATTACATTAAATCTCTACAAATACCCGATTCTATTTATATTTTATATATCCTAGCATAAGTTTCTTTAAATTCAATTCTGATGTCTTCAAAGCCACTCACTCCCCTACAAGACACACACACATAAATAATGAACTTCAGTATTTTGAAAAGCAAAACATTTATCAGCATTTAAGTCCACGGCTCAACGAACATTTAAATATGACACACATTATATATTTATAAAAATTAAAAACAGACAAAACCAGTAACATTTATCAAATAATGTGGAAATGGTTAAAATGCAACTTGTATTGAAACCATGTAAACAAAACCGTAATGTTAATTTTTTAAGTATATGGAAATTAGGATAGATGGGTCAATTACTTGGTTTTTGAAAAAACATAAGAATAACATGGGTTAGGAAAGTACAAAAGCAGCAAAGCACTAAAACTGGTCATAGTCTTCCAGTAAAAATATGGCACCTAATATAAGGAAAAAATATAAAAACTTTTAAAATATGCTTAAGAAAATGTGTCCAAAATGTCTCAAATATCACTAGCAATTAACGATTTTATGTCAAAATAATAAAAAACAAATGTACAAACTGTTCAAATACAATAAATACATATAAATATAAATACATTAAACATCTCTCAAGGGGTGCCTGGGTGGCCCAGTCGTTAAGCGTCTGCCTTTGGCTCGGGTCATGATCCCAGGGTCCTGGGATCCAGCCCGGCATCAGGCTCCCTGCTCAGTGGGAGGCCTGCTTCTCCTTCTCCCACTCCCCCTGCTTGTGTTCCCCCTCTCACTGTCTCTCTCTCTCTCTGTCAAATAAATAAATAAATAAATATTTTTAAAAAATTTTTCTAAAAAAAAAGATCTCTCATGAGATTTAGCTGCGTTTTCCTATTTTTTCCAAGGCTTACCTGCATCTAATTTATATATATATATACTTAATGGTTCAAGTAACATCCTACGGAGTGTACTCTATTCTCACCAGTCACTTTTAAACATCTTCCTTGTTTCATTCAGTTATGACTTCATTCAGTCATAACTTTGTTAGTTATATAGGGAACCACATGACAATCTTTTTGGAACAAGGTCCACACTTAGACACATGAAGTTCAAAAGAAAGGTCCACGTGGTCCTGAAAATATCATGTGACTTGAAGCATGAAAAATTCACAAATCCTCACAAACTCAGCTTTTCTTGCCCCTTCCAAAAACTGCCTTTAAAAGGACAAGTGAACAGGTGCACTTGGGTGGCTAAGTCATTCAGCATCTGCCTTCAGCTCAGGTCATGGTCCCAGGGTCCTGGGATCAAGCCCCACATCGGGCTCCCTGCTCAGTGGGAAGCCTGTTTCTCCCTCTCCCACTCCCCCTGCTTGTGTTCCCTCTCTCGTTGTGTCTCTCTCTGTCAAATAAATAAAAATATCTTAAAAAAACAAAAAGGACAAGTGAACCAAAACAGGAGTCATCTTATCATCCCATATTTATTTAAAATCTAATACATTTAGGAGTGACTGGGTGGCTCAGTCGGTTAAGCATCTGCCTTCGCTCAAGTCATGATCTCGGAGTCCTGGGATGGAGCCCAGGGTTGGACTTCCTGCTCAGCAGGGAGCCTGCTTCTCCTCTCCCTCTGCTGGTCCCCCTGCTTGTGCTCTCTCGCTCTGTCAAATAAATAAATAAAATCTTAAAAAAAAAATCTAAGGGTGCCTGGGTGGCTCAGTCGTTAAGTGTCTGCCTTCGGCTCAGGTCATGATCCCAGATTCCTGGGATCAAGTCCCACATGGGGCTCCCTGCTCAGCAGGAAGCCTGCTTCTCCCTCTCCCACTCTCCCTGCTTGTGTTCCTGCTCTTGCTATCTGTCAAATAAATAAATAAAATCCTTAAAAAAAAATCTAATACATTTAGGTACTCCATATATATGATGTAATAGAAGCCAGACAGAAAGTCATGTAACCAGGCTTCCAGCACAGTGTGGCTGGCTTTCACTTTCCTTGTAAGCTAATACCTACTTTACCAGGTTATTTTAAAAGATCCTCCCCCAAAACGGCACAATATTTGGCATACTGTATGTACACAAATGGTGGCTAGTATAATTATTTTAAATCAAATTAGAGACAGGAAACAAACAGAAAGAAAATGAACAGTACAAACTGGCATTAGAAGCCCTATCGAAGCAGAGAAAAGGAAGAAATGCCCAGGAGCCCAGCTGAAACTAAAGCTTCACGGAGAAGGTAAGAGAAAGGCTCTGCCTATCAAGAAGTCTCGGACTTATCAGACAAGAGGGAGGAGCGATTAACAGAGAAGCAGAGATAAGACTACAAAATTAGGGGCACAACATAGAAAGCTAAATCCAGTATCATTATTGGTGAGCAAAAAAAAGAAAGAAAAGAAGAAGAAATTAGAACTAAATCATGCACTAGAAAGAATAAAACCTGTATGAACAGGACAAAACAGATCAAGTCCCAATGTCTAATCACAAATTTTTATCACCGGTTATCTTTTCTCTTTTAGGAAAAAAAAAAGGGGTCTTGAGACAACAGTCTGTTTAGAAAATACAACACCTACTCTCAAAATACTAAAAAGACATACAAATGTGACTACCTATAATATAATCTGACTACTGATGATAATGACCTTCTTCAGAAGAGTATTAAGCAAATCGATGAACATTACTAATACTTAAAATGACCTAGAAATGAGGGAGGAAACGCAATACTTTTTATTGGGCTGATAATGTTTAGAAGAGGTATAAGTAGTTTACAAATAATGCTTAAGCTTCTTAAACCCTCAGAAATGAGACTAGTTACATATAAACGTATTTATGAAATATAAGGATCCCCCATTTTTTGAAGTTCAAACTAGGCTACTTCCCTTTTTGGAAAGACCTACATGAGTACCTATTTTCACTAACCAAAAGACATCCAGAGAGGATTTTCGCTTTTATGTAAAAGGCAAAAAGCAAACACAGCGTTCAGTTTGTTTCGCAGCGAGCCATTAGAGAAAGAGTGCGCATGCAGCAGCTAGAGTGGCGCCACCAAGCTCCTTCTCCAGGAACTGCACCCAACATCTCAGCAGCAAGGTCCCTGGCGTTTGGAACAGTGTGGGTAGACTTGCGCTTTATCTTGATTTATTTTGTGCATTCATTAGCAAGATATGTCCTAAGGTACCAGAAAAACCTAAGAGAAGTTATTCTTGGGGTCTGGGAATGCTCGAAAAATTTCCCATATAAATTAATGGTAGCTGCTTCTTCACTTCATGCCATTTTGGTTTTTACCAGGACAGGTCTCACAGGAACACTCTATTTTCAGATAGCAGGGGAAACATGCACATTCAAATTTTAATAACCATTTTTTAAATGATTCCTTGAAGGTTTAAAAAAAAAAGTTTATATTCTTACTAAAACTAAACTGGGAAAAATTACAACATAAATCAAGTTAACATTCAGTATATGGCACTGGGATTTTTATGACAGTTTTTATGTGAACAATCTTTTTAAAGTCTTCATTAATCTAAGAGCAGCAAGGATACAGAACAAAAGAAATATTGTAACTGCTTTGGGGACTTTTTACCACCATATTTCAAAAACACACAAACAGTCCAATTCATGCCATTTTGTGCCAAGAAAGCTATTTTTCCCCTCAAAATACAATTTAAAATACTCTCTAAATTTAACTCAATATTAATATGATTTAAATTTACATTTAACTGCAATATAAAAATATATCTTGTAGGCCTTTCAAAGAAAGTATCTTTTTTAAAAATACCTCTGAATATACAAAGAAATAATCTTTAGGCTTACTTGGAAGCTAAGCTATATAAAAGTAAAGCCTTTAATAGAAAAAATAGTGACTTTTACAAATATTTAAGTTAAAATGGCTCTCTTTTGGAGCCCTGTCAGAGAAAATATCTAAGTCTGCAGCTCCCTAAGTGGGGGCAGGGTTGAAGATAACTGCTGCAAAAGCGATCCTAGCTTTACCAGTGCGGCTCTCGACTTGAAGTGCAGTGGTAGGCTCTGGAACAAAGAATGTGTAACCTGATCTCTTTTCCTTCTCTCCTCCTTCACAGCAACATTTAGAAAGTAATTTAACCTCTCAAAATGGCATCTTTGTGCTGCTTAGGGGAAAAACATCTACTCACTAGTACAGCGTAAGGGAAAAAAATAAGAAATCAAATCACTTTTTTAAAAATGGGTTTTCCTTTACAGTGATATTTTTGTGTCAAACATTGAGTATACAGACAAGCCAATTAAAAATGAAGACTATTTTTGCTACGTGAAGGCCCACAACGCAGGTTTTAAGAACAATTTGTCAAACATCCAGACAAGCCAATTATAAATGAAGACTATTTTTGCTACGTGAAAGCCCACAACACAAGATTAAAAAATGCAGCTCAAGTTTTAAG